CTGCCTGCCTGCCTGCCTGCCTGCCTGCCTGCCTGCCTGCCTGCCTGCCTGCCTGTCTGCCTGCCTGTCTGTCTGTCTGTCTGTCCGTCCGTACGTCCGTACGTCCGTACGTCCGTCCATTCATCCTTCTGTCTGTCTGTAAAGTCTTTACGGGATCACACACTGCAGGATCAATATGATAGCATATTGATAGCAATATGCTATCAATATAGTATATTGATAGCATATTGATAGCATATTGATCCTGCAGATAAGGGGATCCTACTGTTGATAACTAAATAACTAAGATTTCTGTCTGTCTCTTTCTATCTGTCTGTTCATCTGTCCATCCATTTGTCCTTATTGCTGTCTGTCTATAAAGTGTGTGTGTGTGTACACACACACACACACACACTTTACAGGATCACACACTGCAGGATCAATATGCTATCAATAGGCTATATATATATAGCCCATTGATAGCATATTGATCCTGCAGATAAGGGGGTCCTACTGTTGATAAGTAAATAACTAAGATACAGGAATGCCTTCGCCATTCAGGACGTTGCCTTAGAAGGAATCGCTCAGTTTTGTTAGTAGTGACTGACAGCACTTATCAGTGGTTTGAACCCTGTTATTGCCTCCACACACGTGACTTTATCCAAACATGAAGAATGTTCTCCTCTCTGAATGATGATTTTACTCTCACTCAAAGAGTTTCTTCTTTTTCTCCCCCCTCTCCCAATATAAGCACATCTCTTGAATCACACGGCCCCGTTTTTAATTCTTCTTTTCTCCAGTTTAAAACCATCAACAAAGGCAAAAAGACCAACATCATTGACTCCATGTTGCGGACGCTGGAGCAGTACTCCAGCAACCTGGAGGAATTAATTCGGGAGCGAACCGAGGAGTTGGAAATGGAAAAGCAGAAGACGGAGAAGCTGCTGACCCGGATGCTTCCCCGGTAAGCACTCTTGCTGACATTTTTTAAAAAAAACACCCAACTTCCTTGTTCATGCTCTGCCCCCCAAAAGCTTGCAAATACAATACAGTAAAACCTCTTTATCCATGAAGCAATTGTTCATGGATTCACTTCTCCACTGTCTGAATATATTAAAAGTATTAAAAGAAAAATCCTTATATATACCATCAACAAAGGCAAAAAGACCAACATCATTGACTCCATGCTGCGGACGCTGGAGCAGTACTCCAGCAACTTGGAGGAATTAATTCGGGAGCGAACCGAGGAGCTGGAAATGGAAAAGCAGAAGACGGAGAAGCTGCTGACCCGGATGCTTCCCCGGTAAGCACTCTTGCTGACATTTTTTTAAAAACACCCAACTTCCTCCTTCATGCTCTGCCCCCAAAAAGCTTGCAAATACAGTAAAACCGCTGTATCCATGGAACAATTGTTCATTGATTCACTTATCCACTGTCTGAAAATATTAAAAATATTAAAAGAAAAATCCTTATATATATATATTTTAAAGATGAAGTTACCAGAACTGGGCACTAGAGCATGCTCGGTCTGCAGAAATCTATTTCTGCTATCATTTCCAGAACTGGACACGAGCGGAAGCTAAAGACCATGTGATGTACAGGAGTCTCCATTAAAAGAGCATTTCCTATAATCCACATTTTTAGCATCTGTGCAGGGGTTTGGAACCAATCCCTCATGGATATGGAGTGTGTGTGTCCCATTGCATTTAAAATGTTGCCACAGACAATGATACCTCTATGTGTCAGGAACAATGGTTGTTTAGGGAATACTTTTAGACCACACACCAGAAAGACCACTGTTAACAATTATTAATGACCCATGACCATGGGTGGAGAAGGACTGCAGAAGTGGGATTATCCCTCACCCCCGAATCCTTTGTCCTTCTAATGAGCCTATTCAGACCAGGGGGGAGTGAGACCAAGGGGAAGGATCTATCAGGGATCTCCTACCAACTCTCCTCAAACTGAAGAAGCTCCTTGGATGAGGAGCTAAACATCTCCACCTAATAAGAAAGGAGTCCAGTTCCCATGTCTCAACTTCCAGGTTACCTGGAGATCTTTGTCAGTTTGGGTGTGGGCCTTATGATGCTGCAGTTGTCTACCGACACCTCTAAATGTTTTGGTTGATGCTTTAGCAGTTTTTCCATTTCATGTTAACCTATCCAGCTGTGTTGTTTTTGACAGCACTTTTTGTTGATTTTCATATTTTTAACACCCTTGAGTTGCCTGTCCTGTTTTCTCCTGTGGCCTCGGCTTGACTTGATTTCATGACATTGTCATGAAATGAGGTGTTACTTCACTTTATACTGTTTTGAAGGCTGGAAATCACCTCAAGCGTTTCTTTCTAGTGGAAAGGTGGGGAATCAGTTCAATTAAATAATTCAATGAGCTTGATCTGGACTGACATTCCTGCGCTTACATAGATCTGTGGCAGAAAAACTGAAAACCGGCAGCACGGTCGAACCCGAGTATTTTGAGGAGGTCACCATCTACTTCAGTGACATCATTGGCTTCACGGCCATCTCTGCCCTCAGCGAGCCCATCGAGATTGTGGACCTGCTGAACGACTAAAATAAATAAATAATAAATAAATAAATCTAGAGCACTGTATCCAGGTCTGGACACCACACTTTAAGAAGGATGCCAGTAAACTGGAAGAAGTCCAGTGAAGGGAGACCAGGATGATCGAGGGACTGGAAATCAAGCCGCAGGGGGAAAGACTGAAACAACTGGGCAGGTTTAGCCTTGAGAAAAGAAGCCTGAGAGGAAATAGGACAACACGTTTCCAATACGTTAAAGGGTGTCCTGAAGAGGAGGGGCAGGATCTGTTCTTGATCCTCCCAGAGTTCAGGACACGTCATCATGGGCTCAAGCGACAGGAAGCCAGATTTAGGCTGAATATCAGGGGAAAAAAACTTCTCAACTGTTAGAGCAGTACGACGAGGGAACCCATGACCTCGGGAGGCGACGAGGTCCCCAACACTGAAGTCCTTCAAGAGGAAATTGGACCCCCAGCTGTCAGATCTGCCTTGAACTTCCAAAACCTTGAACCTGATCCAAGACACAAAAGGTAAAACCAGTGGAGGTGAGCTGGAACTGGAGTGAAATGCTCAGATTTGCTCACATCGGTCACCCGTCTAAGTGCAGCGTGCTGGACCCATTGTAGTCTCTGGGTCAGGTTCAAGGGGAGCCCCTCATTTTTTTCTTTTTGCAGGGGAGGCATAGGGAACAGGGGCCTCCAAAATGGGTCAGCCCCACGAAGCCTGTGAGCCATACTTTGCCTTCCTCCTGTCGTCCAAGAACCTCTGGTGACTCACGGTGGAGAAGCGCTGAGCTAGAGTATATGTGTGCCTCCCCTTTTTAGGCCCGATTCCAGAAGAGTGTGGGATTTACTGGGATTCGCTTCCAAACCACTACACATACATCCCCAACGGGAATGCCACTCTGCAGCCTTCGGTTTCTCCTAGCGATAAACTCCCCATTCTGACTGCAGGCAACAGAGCGCTAGTGTCCTTATTTTTTTTTTAAGGCAAACTTCACGCTTTGGAACCACGATACTTATTGGAGTATCTAACCCCAATGTCATCCACCCGACCCACCAGATCCTCCCAGACCAGGTTCCTCTGGGTGGCTACCCCAAAGGAGGCCTGAACATGCTATACTAGAGGCAGGGCCTTCTCTGTGGTGATGATAATTATGGAGCGCTAGTGTCCTTATTTTTTTTTTAAGGCAAACTTCACGCTTTGGAACCACGATACTTATTGGAGTATCTAACCCCAATGTCATCCACCCGACCCACCAGATCCTCCCAGACCAGGTTCCTCTGGGTGGCTACCCCAAAGGAGGCCTGAACATGCTATACTAGAGGCAGGGCCTTCTCTGTGGTGATGATAATTATGGAATGGAGGCCGTCTATAC